AACTGTCATTCTTAAACTAAGTATGAATTCGTGCTGGCTACGACTCTGATGCGGGATATCATATTTAAAAATCCATGCACAACCAAACAATGACTTAAAGTAAATACTTTCTTTTCTTTATTCACTGCATTTTCATATTCAATATCTTTTATTTCAGGTCCATCTTCAACGATTCTCATTATATCACTCAATACACCTGTTTTAACAGAGCATCTGAGTTTAGTCTTAATTGTGTTTACCTCTACCCCTTTAGCACTGGTCACTGTTGTTGTTCCATAAACCTGTGTCTATATCCTTTCAATGTTTCATAGTAAACAACATTTAAGTATCATTAGTAAATTTGGCAGCAATTCTTGATATAGAGTACAGACAGCACTACCAACATCTTAAAAAAGGAAAAGTCTTGGTATGCAATACTACTTGATCTTTTGTAGTGTCCATATTCTATATCACAAATATGATTGTCAATGACAAAATTTTGGGCAAAATTATCAGCTAATAACAAAATATAATTGGTAGACGACATGCTATTAACAATATCAACTTACACTAACCCTGACACCAAGTTGTCAACTATATTTTGAATGTAATGTTTTTGTGAACTTAGTAAGATAAGACAGATTTATTGTATATATGCCCTTTGTGGACAGAATACAAATACCAACAGTACAATGGTTTACAATAAAACGAAACATGATATAAAAAAGAACACATTGAAGTGAAAAAATAATATAATTAGAAACATTGAAAGGATATAATTATATAGACACAGGTTTATGGAACAACAATCCAATCAAGAAGTGATGGGCAAACTATATATACATTAATGCTTATTATTAAGAACACACAAGAGATAAATGGTTTATTGATACATTACATTAAATTTTAACAGGTACATAATTCTTAAAATAACATACAGGCTGATTAAGTAAAATAATTGAAATGAAGTAAATGAATTCAAAAGGATTAATTGAAGATTACATATAGACAACTATTGTTTTAAATAACTTACTATGGTTAAAGTTGAAAAATTTTAATAAATTGAATACATTTATAAATATGAATAATTACAAGTTGATGAATTTATCATATGCATGCGATAAACGAACACCTTCATCTCTGTTAAAGTCAGGCTGATATCTTCTGATGTTGATAACTTCATGAAGTCTCCTGGTTCTATCCATGTGCTTATTATTTGTCAGTATGTTGGTGTTGTCAAAGTTGACTTTTTGTCCTGTTTTCTTCCCATAACAAGATGTTCAGCCACAGCAGATGTTCCTTCATTGCCGGGCTTGTCTTGATGGTCTTCTGACCGGTGCTGAGATGGCTGCCCTTTTGACATGTTGAGGGGTGTTGGAATGGTAGTTCACATACTGATCTGTATGAGTAGGTTTCCTGTACACGCATGTCTTCAACTGACCTAACCGCTTAATTCTCACATCCAGAAAGGTATAGAGTTATCTTTTTCTGCTTCCATGGTGAAATTCATCCTCTAATGCTGAGCATTCATCTTCAGCGCTAAGTATGGCAAAGGTGTCATCAACTTTCCGGAACCAGCAGATTGGTGAGATCGGAGAGGTTTCCATGGTCTTTTCCTTAAAGGCTGTTATATAGATTTCAGTAATCAATGGTGACAAGGGGCTTCCCTTAGGTATACCGTGGACTTGTTCATTGACCTTATTTCCCCATGTGAAGTAGGTAGAG